CGAAGCAGACCAATTAGGTAAGGGTTCCATAGGAATCACGAACGTGACTGAAAAGGACTAATGAATGACGGTGACGTATTTGTGATGGGACGACGTACGAACCTACGTAAAGTCACCAAGCGATAAGACGTTTTCCTTGGTGGAGACGGGTTCATCTAAACAAACGGTGAGAACACTCGCTTCCTCCGCGTCATCAACACATCAACCTCTCTTCGTAGCAACCGTGTTCGTACCAACAATTCCACACGAACGGAGATCGATTTCGCATCACACTAGCTTCCMAACGATTCTTTTTCACAACAAATAGAATAAATAACCATGAGCAAGTTCCTCACTCTCCTTGTCGCTGTTATCGCCATCGCACAGGCTGCCGCCTTYATGGGCACCCCAGTCATCACTTCCAGACAGGTGCGTTTCTGTCAGTTTGCGTTTGGGTGTTTTGTACCCTTTTGCTCTGAACGCGACCCAAACTTGACGGCATGGACCAATCCAGAGCTATTGATGACGTCTCCCTATCCAGCGCAATTAAATATCAATCGCAAATGAATGAATCGTTGATTTTTAAGTGTGTCGAATTGCTAGCTCACTCCTTTTTTCTCAATTTTTCCTCTCAGTGCCCTGCGCAACGAAGTGGAGCTGCCTCAATGGAAATGAGAGCACGCGAGTGCGATTTGCTTGGAAAGAAGGCCAATCGCAAAGCCCGTGTTGTAACTTTCTCCCACAAGCGCATCCACAAAGTTCAAGAAGTCAATCTCCAAACCAAGAGATTCTTCTCCGAAGAGCTCGATCGCAAGGTCAAGCTTCGACTTTCCACGAAGGGAATCAAGACAGTTAACAAGTTGGGAGGAATTGATGCTGCTGCCAAGAAGTTCAAGGTTGACTTGAAGAAATTCTAAATCCTTAACGATGTAAACAATCTATTTTTTGTGATACTTCACTCACAACTACCTCTCCGAGAAGAAGCTGAATAGAATCAGATGAGACTGTCAGTACGGCACAACAAATCGTTAACGGCGAGTAAAAAAAATCGAATTCATTACAACTAAAGCAGGCTGGGTCGAGTGTTGTATTAAAATTTCAGTTGAAGTTGTTTGCGGCAACTTTAACATTTGTAGTTTACGCCTGGCAGCTGACACAAACGTCCTGTGAATCGTCAACTATTGCTACGGATCCTGATGGAGCTGAGCCCTTATCTACTGTATATTGTATCGCGTTTACAGCTGGCTTGGTACGCAGATAATACATCCCAGTCTATGGCCGTTATCGCAGTTGTGAAATTTAGGGWAGTTAGTGGTTTGTTTCAATCGTTCGCAGATCTTTCAATTTCAAGGGTTGTACGTACCTTCAGACCTTTTTTCCATGCATAAAAATGCATTGCTGTCAGTTTATCCATGTTGGGATTTGCAATAAAGAGATTTAAGCTTTGGCTTTGGTCGATAAATTTCCCCCTATCAGCTGCCATGTCAATAATTTCTTTCATCTTGATTTCCCAGACCGTTTTATATACTTCTTTCAAGTCAGAAGGAATGACGTCGATGTTAGCCACGGACCCGCCATCTCGCATTAGTTGATTGCGAACTTCTGGTGTCCATAGACCTCTGTCTGTCAAATCTTGAAGTAGATGAGGATTGGCCATGATGAATTCACCCGCCTTTACCCGGCGAAGGTATAGGTTCGAGCTGAAAGGCTCGAAACACTCGTTGACACCCAAAATCTGAGATGTCGAAGCTGTTGGCATAGGAGCCAATAGGAGTGAATTCCTCAAACCATGTTCCATCATTGATGATCGTAACTTGCCCCAATCATAGCCTTCCGTTTGATAGGGCTCTGCGTATTTTCCTAGGTAAGGTTTCCCCTTCTTGGCTCTTTTGCTMGGCAAGTCATCAGCGGGAGTATTCCACAAATCGAATTGGAATTCCCCTCTACTGGCTGGCGAACCGGGGAATGTGTCGTAGTGACCATCTTCTGCTGCCAATTCTACACTGGCCTCCAAGGCTGCGTGGTAGATTGTCTCGAAGATAGCTTCATTCAATTCCTTAGCCTGGTCGGAGGTAAAGGGAAGACCTAAACGAATGAACGCATCAGCTAGGCCAGATACTCCTAATCCTATGGGACGATGCCGTCTGTTCGACTTTTTCGCGCCCGGAATCGGATAGCTATTGATATCAATTATTCGGTTTAAGTTGCGAGTCACAATCTTTGTTGTTCTGTGGAGCGCCTCGTGATCGAAATATGCTCTTCCAGAGTCTGGATCTACAGATCCATATGAACCCCTATCAGAAACTACGTACTTTGGAAGACAACTATTCAGAAAAGTGGACATAAAAACAATGAGAGGAAAGGGTACACTTGTAGATTGTTCTCGCGGACTTCCTTTCTCGATTTACTTACATACTTGCAAGATTGCATACAGCAACCTCTTCTTCGTCCGTATATTGGATAATTTCTGTGCATAGATTACTGCATTGAATTGTTCCAATATTCTTTTGGTTACTTTTTTCATTAGCGGCATCCTTATATAGCATGTAAGGAGTTCCTGTTTCGATTTGGGATTCCAGAATTGCGGACCATACCTCTCGGGCAGGCATCTGGCGAACATATTTTCCTTCTTTTTCGTATTTTTCATATAGTTCCTCAAAYTCTTTTCCGCTGCACTCTGGGAGGCCAGGGCATTGATCGGGACACATCAGACTCCAGTTTTCATCGTTCTCTACTCGTTTCATAAACAAATCAGGGATCCATAGGCCGTAAAATAGATCTCGAGCTCGCTGTTCTTCTTTCCCGTGGTTCTTTTTCAGATTAAGAACGTCGAAAATGTCCGAATGCCAGGGTTCAATGTAAACAGCAAATGCACCAGGCCGCTTTCCACCTCCTTGATCAACGTATCTCGCTGTCACATCGTAAACGCGAAGCATAGGAACCAGTCCATTGGAAGTACCTCGTGTACCCTTGATGGGAGACCCCCTAGCTCGAATATTGTGCACGCTCAATCCAATTCCACCAGCAGATTTGGATATGACAGCGCATCGCTTTAATGTATCATATATGCCCGAAATTGAATCGTCACTCATTTGAACCAAGAAACAACTCGATAGCTGAGGATGAGTCGTTCCAGAATGAAATAGTGTAGGAGATGCATGGGTAAAGTATCCCTCGCTCATATAGTCGTACGTCTCAAAAGCAGCCTGCAGTCGTAAATCTTCCTCTTCTGGAGTGACTTTGCCTGATATCCTTTCGGTACAATGTATCCCTAGGGCTACTCTCATTAGCAAATATTGTGGTCGTTCTAGGAACTTTCCATCGTTGGTCTTCAATAGATAGGAGCGTTCCAAAGTTTTGAAACCGAAGTATGAAAACTCAAGATCCCGTTCGTTTCGAATCCGCTGACTGATTTCGTCTCCCCGCCGTCGAACCAGGTCCACAATGCTTGGATCAATGTATTGTATTTCTTCGTCAATTGCCTCGACAGCGTCTGAAAAAGTCGGCGGGGTGTACTTGTGATTGAGTGACACCAGAATACGTGCCGCCAACCGTGCATACAGGACGTGCTGTGTAGCCATACTAGCTGCTGTTTCGGCTGCCAAAATATCGATTTCGTATGAGCTAACACCCGGGTACGTGCCACGCAAGATCGATTCCGCCAACGATTCTAAGTCGAGTTTGGTCATCAAAGTCTTCTCGTCTTCCGCTGGAAAGGTGGCCGCCATTCTCTTGAGGCGTTCCAGTATCTAAAAGCAGCACCGAGCTGAGTAATTTTCTTGAAAAATACGATGCATTTCATCAAGGGCAAAACAACACCAAGCATGGAAGAGGTTTCAACGCTGAAAAAGTTTACGAAACGCTTACCTTTATTCGTTCCAGAGGTTCTTTGGAACCATTCCGTTTTTCTACATAAATCAGTTCATCCTGGGAATCGACGTTTTTCGTGCTGACCCCAAAGAGTGTCGAAGCCTCGTCTGGTGGCGACCTTATGACGGTAGACCCGCCAACAATGGCTTTCGACAAKAGCGACGATGGGGGAGATGGCGAATGCACAGCCCACGCAAGTCTTGCCAAATTCAGTACTGCGAAACTCCACAACGGCAAAAAAATCGATTTGGTCATGACAAAGCCTCTAATATGAATGAGGTCAAGCTCGGGTGGGAGGTGTGAATTATTTCTGAACCGTTTTGTCGTTCCAGTGATGGGTATGGGTCCAAAATGGATCACTTGAAACACAGAAAAATTGCTATCTCGTTTTCACGGAATCTAGCTCTACCGAAGGATCAACTACTGCGAGGTTGGTAAGTGAAATAGATTGTAGCACGACTGTGAAGGCAACGTTATTRTCAGCCAATCTGCACTCTGTYGTCGATGAAGTGAGTGCTGACTCCGCGGCAAATTTACTGATGGATACCTCCGTACCGGTAACTCGTTAGTTCGATGGATAATTTCAGAAGATTACAAAAGTTGTCAGTTGTCACWTTGTACCGGCCGAGGCTACTCGTACCCGTACTCGTACGAAATGTAAATGCCCCAATCGCGCACGCGGAATGCAATTTGGAAAAATTAGAACAAATGAAGGGAGTGAAAACCTTATCGTCTGTCCATCRCACGGCAAAAATTTGACAACAAAGAAAAAATGTTTAGAAGAAAGCATTTCATATTTCATTCCTTCCTTTTCCAAGAAGGGGAGAAAACCGATCTTACCACTGATGGCATGACTTTTACTAGTACCACTAGTAGTGCTACGTACTGTAATGTATTGGCACAACTTTTTTCAATTTTTTTCAGGAAAAAGTCGAAAAAATGAAGAATGCTTTGCATTTCTCAGCCGAATCAGAGATACAACTGTAACATCACTCATATGAGGTATCTCTTCGGAGAATCAAACACACCCCTGTGCACTCCAGCCATTTCTTCTTCCGATTCAGTTTGCAACGTACAACACTGTCGAAGAAATTAGGATCATACTTTCAACGCTCGAAAGTTGAAGGAGGGGCGACACCGGTRATGTCGACCACAGCAACAAACAATGGGACGGAAAAGAACAACATCCGCACCGCATGCGATGGCTACGTCCAGGCAGGTTTGACGGGAAACAAGACAATACAGTTCCTCATAGAAAATCTTGTTCGAATGGGGTGCACTCCACCCGAAGGGTTCATCCAATGTCTTGACTGCGAAGGAAAGCMGGTGTCGGGTGGGTTTGGGATGCTGCAAGAAGAAGTCTTGGCAGAAGATGGCAACAGTGGCAGTGCTGCTCTTAACAAGCAACTGTCCGAGGCTGCGACCAAAAAGCCACACTGCACAAAATCCACACAGGAGATACTTGACCAATTCCAGCGAGACAAAGATGGCAAGACGAAACTCAGCCTACGGCCCGAAATCTATATTTGCCAGGAACACGTATCCGGTCCCAAACACGCCAATACCATACTGACTCACGAATTGATCCATGCCATAGACATGTGTCGGGCAAAGATGGATCCCCTGCGGAATTGTATGCAGCTCGCCTGCACCGAGATTCGGGCCGAGAATCTGAGCGGAGAATGCGACATGTCCTGGGAATTTCTTCGCGGGAAACTGAACAGCTCTCCGAGCATTCTAGGCCACGGAAAGGAGTGTGCGAGACGGAGGGCCATCGATTCGGTCCGAGCCAATCCAAATTGCACCGAGCGAGCCGAATTGTACGTAGATGCGGCGATGGAACGGTGTTACGCCGATACGTTTCCGTTCGAACGCCATCCCAAGCAGAAATGAGACAAAACAAATCCAGTCAACTCGACTAGATATATACCTACAATYAATAGACCAAACATATCGTAGTATGTCATCTTTGTAGCGAAAGGCGCAGAAAAGAATGAAGGTTTGTAAGAAGAAAGGAAAGATTTGATCTGGTAGAACCTTTTCAGAAATAAAAGAGCTGCTTCCCAATCCTTTATATCTTTCCATYCGGTCTCCCACTTTCTACCATTTGATGCACTGCTCGACCAACGCATGGGGATGGCTGCATGCGAYGGTAGACTGGAGTGAGTTTGGGGTTAACCTAGATCATTGATKTGACCAACAACTATAGTCAACTCCCATRTTRCGCTGCGTATCACGCAGGCGACAACTTCATCCAAAGAATAAAAATACTAATGAATTGAATCGAAGTACTAAATGCTATTGTAGGAAGTAAAGCAATCGTAATTTCCATCGTTTTTGAATTGAAATGGAAATATGGGCGTAAGAACTGCGGCATCGGTACGAACAGAGTAGCAAGTGGCACACCTCTAGCGCACACAATGTGCCTTACTTTGAGATTACGCTTTGGATCTTGAATGTTCGGAYGTGGACAGAGAAGGCAAACACACCACAAACAACGAAATGCAACAAGGAACAGAAACAAGATGCGGCTGTCGCCGTCGAGAAGGTTCTATCCACAACAAACTCCACTGTAATCATCGTCGTGGTCAAACCGGTTGGCTTCGCATCAATCTGCTTTTCATCCAGCTTCCTCAGATGCTGCCATCCTACAAGGTCCATGYCAATCAATCCAACCTCCTCAGTTCAATGTCTCAGTCGATTCAATTGTTTCATAAAAAATATTGGGTCCTTAGAGGAATGATTTATATTGTGTTAGTTTACTCCTTCATATCATCATACAAGAAGGTGGTGTGGGACTTTCCGCAGTAGTAACGGTCGTGGTGCTGGGCCATGAAGCAGCCAATTCCTGCCACAGGGGAGTATTTTCGAAGGCGGGTGACCTTGCCATCGGCCTCAACTCGGTAGTATTTCAAACTTTGCATAGGGACGGCCTTGTGGACGTGCTTGGTCTTCTTGGGTCTGGTGWAGACCTTCTTTTTGCGCTTCTTACCTCCTCCTCGGAGACGAAGAACCAAGTGAAGGGTGGATTCCTTTTGGATGTTGTAATCGCTCAAGGTGCGTCCATCTTCCAATTGCTTTCCGGCAAAGATAAGACGTTGTTGATCAGGAGGGATTCCTTCCTTGTCCTGGATCTTGGTCTTGACGTTGTCAATAGTGTCCGATGGCTCGACATCAAGAGTGATGGTCTTACCTACTCATTGAATTCGTTGCGATTACACACGATACAAAGCGACAACACGAGTTAGAAGTACGTCCGCTTTCGTCACGTCCACGACATCACTGGCATCTTTACCGGCCACAGCCCAACCGACACGGACAACGCCCCCTCATGGCAACATACCTGTTAAGGTTTTGACAAAAATTTGCATGGTGAAAGTCCTTGTCTACTATTAATTATCTAACACAGATAACCCAAACTCCGAATATACCCGGTGGTAGCGGCTGATACGCTTGTAGATGAGAAGATGRAGATGGTGGTGAGGGATGAAGTAACGCGGGTAGCAGTTTTGCATGTGTTCTGCGTACTTTTCAATGAAAARCCAGCGTCTTTACCGCTTTTACCACATACTATTTTTTACCATGTTTTCCAACCGAACGATTAGTTCGACTCGAAGCTCGCATTTTCTTCCTAGGCATTATGAGTACGAGTATTGTACGGACAGGTACGAGTTACTTACGGACTCGTACCGTATGATATTTTTTATGAGTTTCTATCTGCCAAATACTACTGTACGTAGTACGTACCGGCACCGTAGTGTTGGTTTCTGAAAATCACCCGAGTTAGTCATTATGAATCCCTAGTAGTTAGTGAATGATCTAGTTCATCTCAAAACATCTAGACGACAGTTTCGCAGTGACATCTACTGAGCAGACGTCAGCTTTAATCTTTTTGCCGGTATTTTAGAAAATCTGAAAACGGATATCCCCTCACCAGCATCGCAATCACCATCGATCACCGTCARTTGTAGTCGTCAAGAAGTTTCTTCAATGTTTATTGTTTGGGGTCAGAAGCAACACCAACAGTTCATTGACAACTAGCGTATCCCGCATAATAGTATGAGACATTCTACCAAAATACTCCTATTGATTCTACTTGGAGGACACGACGTRTCGTCCTCGTTCCAAATTCCAGGACAGAAAAAATACGCATCTTGCAGAACATACGATGTTCCTGGAGAACAGCGACCTTGTTCTGTCCTTACCACTCGACATCCTTCAAGGAAATTTGCTGAGAAAAGTCCCACGCTGGAGGTGCCGCCAGGAGGGGCAACGACTRAAGTTGATGCAGGAGCAAACGATGGTATCGCAAAAGCATCGATAGCAGTTGGCGTAATGACGGCTGCCATGGGATATTTGTACGGGAAAGTCCTTTCCCTCTGTGTAACAACGGTTTGGCACAAGCTACCGGCCATTTTGCAAAGTAAAAATTTCAGCCCGGCCCACATTATTACGGGACTCTGTACATTCGGTGGCYTATTGATGGGTATTCTATCATCCGCCTTGAGTTCTACCACCTTCACAGTTGCCGACTTTGTCTCTATATTTTCATCTTCTGGTCCAAAATCGTTGCCTTCTAGTCGTACCTATCTTTTGCCACTACTCCTTTTATCACTGGTGACTAGTACGTTCGGCTTCAGTGTGGGACCAGAAGCACCGATGGTTTGTGCCGGAGCGTTGATTGGAGCATCATTTGCACGTTACTTGTATGGAGAAGACGGTGATAAGATCAACATGAACAATCAAGAGACTTTGGCCTATGCAGGAGCAGCTGGAGCCTTGACAGCCTTCATGGGCATTCCAATCGCTGGATCAATTTTTGCTTTGGAATTGACCAGTCCCCATGCCGGAGTAAATGAGGCAGGTGGGAAAGCAGCGCTCTCGTCGACTGCCATGTCAAGTATTGCAGCTCTGGTTGCAATCCGAGCCATTTTTGATCCATTTTCCGYAGTGGGTGGACATTTYGATTACGGTGCCATTGGTTCCTTGCCAGGCCGTACGATGATTATTGCAGCAATTGCATGTGGTGCTGGAGGAGGCCTTTTGGGAACTTTCTTTCACAAGTTAGTTGGGGCAATCAAGAAGATTGCATGGAGTACATACAGTGCGAGTAACGTGGACAGCAACTCAAAACCAAATAAATGGCGAAGACCATTGATTGTGAAAACGTTGATCGGCCTTTTGGTTGGTATCATTAGTACCAACTATCCACAGACGCTATTCTGGGGAGAAGGTAGCCTGCAGACAGTTATCAGTGGACAGCACACGGCATTTATCAACACAAAGCATGGTTTATCAGAATTTTTGACAAGTGTGGCCAGAGTTAACCCGTCTTTACCGTTCGCAAGCGCAACTGCTGCAGCACAAGTTGGTGCAGCAAAATTGCTTGCTATAGCTCTTGCTTGYGCAGGAAAATTCCCTGGAGGTGAGAAAATAAACCGGAAACATGTTGAAGCTACACAGTCAATTACTACTCCAAAAAAATTGTTACGGCGACCGACTTTCTAATCTGTCCCTCCTACCCTTCAATCTTTTTCGTTTTCAGGAATAATTTTCCCTCTGATGTTTGCAGGTAAATGGAAAACTTCGTGACAAGAAGTTCTTGTGAACATATGGTTCTCGTCAATATACTCTTTCCAATCGTAGTACATCACTGAGTGCAAGWATCGAACTAACAATTTGTTGAAAATGCCCCTGTTCTCATTTTGCTATTTTGTGATGAAGCGGCACCGTTGGCCCATTGTGTTTCGAAACTGCTAAGCCTCCAAGGTGGTTTGTCGTCAGTTGTTGTTATGTGCCTCATGGCATCGACTCAGGCTGCTGTGACGAGAACTCCGCTGGCTACAGCTTTGATTCTAAGTTTGTCGGCATCKGCGAAGACGGAACTGAGTGTAATGCTACCAAGCATGATTCTTTCGTCATACCTGGGAGTATATTTTTCTCGTCTGTTCTCGAAAAAGTCTTATTTTGCATATGGTAAATAAATGCAAGAAGAAAAGTTTCATAACAACAAACATCATCAACTTATTATTTTCACCTGATAATTTATCGAGGAGTCTAATAGAATTCCATGACTTCATGCAGTTCTAAAATAAATTTTATACATGGGTTTTAATTATCAAAAGGGTTCGATCGCAAWGGTTTGTTTGTACTTTCACGCTTGCTTAGGCAGCCTCGGCCGATGCAGCGGCTCTTTCTTCCAATACTCTCTTGTAGTCGTGGGGGAAGACCTTGACAAAATCCTTGGCCCTAGAATCCCAATTTTCTAGCATCTCGGCCCCCACACTACTAGCAGTCGCTGCGACGTGTTCTTGAATATATCCAAATACTTCTTCCTTCTCGGCATCAGTATCAATTTTCTCCAGTCCYACGAGTCCCATATTACATCGAGCCGGAAATTTTTTCTCGGGATCGTAAACRTATGCAATACCACCRCTCATTCCGGCAGCAAAGTTACGGCCGGTTTCTCCGAGACAAACCATCACTCCACCTGTCATGTATTCGCAGCCGTGATCACCTACACCTTCCACAACAGCTAATGCCCCAGAGTTACGCACACAGAATCGCTCTCCTGCCTTCCCGTTGAAGAAAGCTTTACCCGAGGTGGCCCCATAGAGACATACATTTCCAACCACGACGTGATCTTCAGGTTTGAAACCGGTGGCAACGGCTTCCTYGGAGGGGAAAACAGCGATTTTTCCTCCCGAAAGACCCTTTCCAGTGTAGTCATTGGCGTCACCAATAACATTAGCAGTGATACCCTTGGCTAGCGTGAAACCAAAAGATTGCCCACCCTTACCCTCGAGGTTGAGAGTGATGGTATCATCTGGCAAACCCTCTCCACCATATCGCTTCGAAATTTCGTAAGAAAGCATCGTTCCCAGAGTACGATCAGTATTTTCAATTCTTTCGTTGATTACGACAGGTGCCTTGTTRTTGAGAGCATCTTGTGCCTGGGCGATGAAYTTGTTATCCAGTGTGACATCGATCCCATGATACTGAGTAGTCAAATTTCTAACTCCAGCGGAAGGGTTGAGTTCAGACGCTGGAGTCAAAAGTGGAGTGAGGTCCAATCCACGACTCTTGTAATGTTGACCCTTTTTGTTCAATTCCAAGTGCTGGGTCTGTCCAATCATGTCCTCCATTTTGCGATATCCCAATTTTGCCATGATCTCACGGACCTCTTCAGCTAACAAGAAAAAGTAATTGACGACATGCTCAGGCTGTCCAGTAAATTTCTTTCGCAATTCTTCGTCTTGTGTTGCGACACCGACAGGGCACGTGTTCAAGTGACATTTTCGCATCATGATGCAACCCATGGTAATCAATGGAGCGGTGGCAAATCCAAATTCCTCGGCACCCAGCAAGCATGCAATCGCAACGTCACGYCCAGTCTTGAGTTGACCATCGGTCTGAAGCTTGATACGATCACGGAGTCCGTTCAGAACCAGAGTTTGTTGAGTTTCTGCGAGTCCAAGTTCCCAAGGAAGACCGCACCCCTTTACTCCAGTCCAAGCTGCAGCTCCTGTACCACCATCATGTCCACTRATAGTAATGTGGTCAGATAGTGCTTTCGCTACACCAGCCGCGATAACGCCGACACCGACTTCTGAAACAAGCTTTGTTGATACTTCCCCAGTTGGTTGGGCGTTCTTCAGATCATGGATAAGCTGAGCAAGATCTTCAATGGAGTAGATATCGTGRTGCGGAGGGGGAGAAATCAAACCGACTCCAGGGGTTGTGTGACGGTTCTCTGCGATGTACTCCGATACCTTGAAACCGGGTAATTCTCCTCCCTCACCAGGCTTGGCACCCTGCGCCATCTTAATCTGAATTTGGTCACTGTTAGCAAGGTAGTTAGATGTGACACCAAATCGACCTGAAGCAACTTGCTTGATACTAGARCGACGGTTGTCAGTGAATCTCTTRGGATCTTCTCCGCCCTCACCAGTGTTCGAGCGTCCACCAAGGGTRTTCATGGCGACTGCAAGCGTTTCATGAGCTTCCTGGCTGATGGAACCTAGAGACATGGCTCCAGTAGCGAAACGCTTCACGATTTCGGACACAGGTTCGACTTCTTCTAAAGGAATAGCTTTTGAAGGGTCATACTTGAATTTCAGTTGACCACGAAGCGTTACCTTTGAATTCTGCTCGTTTGTGATACGTGAAAATTCTTTGTATGCATCGCGTGAGTTAGTTCTTGCCGCAATTTGCAAATTTACCATGGAGTCAGGGGTGTTCAAGTGTGCCTCGCCCCCAGCTCTRTAATGAAATTGTCCATCACTACGGATCATGACTGAATCTTCATTGTCATGGATTGGGAAAGCATCGTCATGAAAGCGTTCAAGATCTCTGTAGAGGGCTTCAAAGTCCGTGCCTTGAATACGGGTCGTCGTACCAGTAAAGCATCTATCAACGACTTCATCAGCAAGTCCGACTGCCTCGAACACTTGAGCTCCCTTGTAACTCTGCAAAGTAGAGATGCCCATTTTGCTCATAACCTTCAAAAGCCCCTTCGCGGCTGCATTGCGGTAGTTTTTGAAAAGTTCATCATCGGACATTTCTTTCTTCGCTCTTGCCTCCACCATACCGTCGRCATTCATCTTACTAAGAGATTCATATGCCATATAAGGGCAGACACCATCGCATCCATAGCCAAAAATGGTAGCATAATCATGAACCTCCTTTGCATCACCCACTTCTGCGAAAATAGCAGCCTTTGGTCTCTGCTTTGTTCCGATCAGGTGATGATGAACAGCTCCGACAGCGAGRAGTGATGGCAGGGCCATGCGGTCTGGTCCTGCAAATTTATCAGATAAAATCACACCTTGGGCCCCCTTCTCTCCGAATTTGCCTCCTTGGATCGCATCTGCTGCTTCGTCACAGATACGTTCCAGAGCCTACACAAAATTGATCGGAAACAAAAATGTTCAATTAGATGCATGGAAAAGTCAAGTTTACTCRGTCAACATGTAGCATGTGGACTTACCGCTAGCATACCGTCAGCTCCGCTGCCAACTGGAAATGTAGTGTCAATCGTGGTGCATTTGAATTGGGTCGAACCATCGCTTCGTTTGAATTCATTTCCCTTGAGCGTTGCCATTTCTTCTAGGGTCAAAACGGGATGATTAACAACGAGGCGTCGACTGTGCTCTGGCCCATCATCGGCCAGCAAGTTCCCTTCGGGACCAACGGGGCAGACGAGACTCATAACAATTTCTTCGCGAATTGGGTCGATAGGTGGATTTGTCACCTGTGCAAAGAGCTGCTTGAAATAGTCATTTACTTGACGAGGTTGTTCCGATAATACAGCCAATGCAGCATCATTTCCCATACTTCCCAAAGCCTCCTTTCCGTTGATAGCCATGGGTAGGAGCAAAACGTCTAACTTCTCACTGGTATATCCGAACATGTTGAGTTTTCGGTTGGTGAGGTTGAAATCCATAGGATCTGCTTGGCATCCACTGGATTTTGCCCAGGATGCAAGATCAATATTTCCATCAACCCAATCAGAGTAAGGCTTTGCAGCTGCAATTTGTTCCTTGATTTCATTGTCTGGAACGATGCGCTGGGTTTCAAAATCAACCAAGAACATTTTTCCAGGTTCCAATCTGTGCTTAATCTTAACGTCGACGTCAGGCAACTCGGAAGAAACACCAATTTCAGATGACAATATCACGTGATCATCGTTAGTCACGTAGTACCTTGATGGACGCAGACCATTGCGATCCAAGGTGGCACCAATGTATCTTTCGTCAGTGAAGGCAACCATGGCTGGTCCATCCCAAGGTTCCATGACACAAGAGTTGTATTCGTAGAACGCTTTTTTGGCATCGGATAGGCTGTCGTTACCTTGCCATGCCTCGGGAATCATCATCATCACACTTTCGGGCAAAGATCGRTTTGATGCCTTCGTGAGCAGTTCCAAAACAGAGTCAAAATTTCCGGAGTCACTCATGTGATCGGAGACAGCAGGTAGCAAAAATGGGGTGTCGTTCCCGTAGATTGGAGATTCCATGATTCCACCGCGACTATACATCCAATTTTTGTTTCCGCGAAGCGTATTAATCTCACCATTATGGCACATCATTCGGATGGGCTGGGCACGTTCCCACGAAGGAAAAGTATTGGTAGAAAAGCGAGAATGTACGAGCGCYAAATGGGTTTCAAAGGTGGGATCTGCCAAATCTTTGTAATATTGCGAAACTTGTTCTGGTGTAAGTTGTCCCTTGTACGTAATGTGATTGGTGGTGAGCGAATTGACATAAAATCCACTTTCAGGTCCGAGCATATCGGTTGCTTCTTCTTCTGCCATTTTTCGGACCAAGAGCAAATCTTGCTCGAACGTTTTGCGATCCTTTGCAGTTGACCCTGCAACAGTAACGAAAATTTGTTCTGTGATGGGCTCGCTATCGAGCGGATCTTTTCCCAACATGGAATTGTCGACGGGGACYCGTCTCCATCCGACTGTGCTCAATCCTCGCTCCTTGACCAACCGTTCCATGATTGCTTTGCAATCATCCATAACCGTCTTCGTGTCACTTCCAGGAGGGAAAAATACATTACCAACCGCATATTCACCCATAGGAGGGAGTTCGGTGGCAAATAATTCCTTCGCCTTTGTGCGCATGAACGAATCGGGCATTCCCAAAAGGAAACCTACGAAGAGCAGCAATCATCAAATCCAAAAAAATCGTCGGTCAGWGAAATTCCGGAATCAATTTCATATTCCAAAAAACACATRAAATRGATACRATATACTTACCGGCTCCATCTCCCGAGGCCGGATCACACCCGCATCCACCACGATGGGCCATGCGAACCAACATCTCGTCAGCAACTTCGACAACATGTCTGGATGGAATCGATTTCATGTTAGCAATGAGSCCGACTCCGCAATTATCTTTTTCGTCCTTAGCATCATACAAGACCTTTTGTTTCTCCGTATCGATCTTCGATCCACGCARTTTCAAAACCTGTTCTGTTGTATAATAACGGGCAGGATGTCGAAGGATATCCTTTTGTAATTTTAGTGCAGACAAGGAYCCACGAGGYATGCGAGAAGCCGACGACGATATGGATCGGGATTGAAGAGAACCAATATTCTTGYTGGCTGCAGATCGCCGAGAGGCGGCTGCGCCATCCGCCGCCTTCGTGGTTCTGCGAAGGGCCTGCTTGGCAACCTTAGAACTACGGGACGAGGAAGCAATCATCTCGGAAAAAGTGAAGTGYGATAGAGTTGATCAATTTTTATGAAGGGTWCGTAGATTTTGATTGTTTGTAGTCCACTTGTTCGCCATMAAATAATTTGCGGAGSCAGAGAATRTCGTTCAATAATGCAATTTCTCTCCTTCTTCTCTTCAGSTCGGCGCAAGCATAGAATATCATCTGATGGAAACAGGCAGATCTTTTCACGGTAGAAGCATGGTACTGTGAACAGTTTTGATGTACGGAGRAGGGATCAGTACTGAAAGTACGAAGAAATTACCTCCTTTTCCACAGATTCCACAGATCATGGGATTTTGTGGTGCCCGAAGGAAGTTCTGTCACTTCTGCAACTTTCATTCCAGAGAGAACAAACATGATGTAATTTCAAGCGCATACTGCGCACCCTTCTGAAAATTCTTGCTGTCGAGCAGAAGCGCGACCACAAAGAAATCCAATAAGAAATTGCGATGAGGTGTCCCGATCTTTCTGCAATTGTTTCTTATTTAGATTCCCCATACAAATGTATCGTAGATAACATACACAAATAATGAAAGTGACCCTAGACGGGCAAACGACAGACTGCAAATTGTGAGACAACAAAGAATGATCACCTCATCATTAGTCATTGGGTGATTCCCGTTACTCTAAATCTTTAAAACTCTAAATCTAGAGATCTAGAGTAACGGGAATCAAGACATTCAACGGACAGACAGAGAGGATGCCAGCTCAATTGCAGTCTTTTCCGGAATCTGGAATCTTATTTATTTTCAACGGAAGAATCAGCAGAGTGGATCCTCTCCGAACCCTCCTCAGCCTCACTAACAATGAAGCCTTTCTTTATGTCAAAGTCCTCCTCGCCGGTACCAAGGTTTGCTTTCCTTCCTATCAAGTAATGGGCGAGCCTGGCAAGCTTCACATACCTAGGCATGTTTGGGTTACCAGTTGAGCTTTTCTTTTTTTGATGGCGTTGTACTTGTTCCTGATGGATTTCTTGCTTCTATCAAAGGGATACTTTATATCATGCTTGGTGACAACAGTATCCCCCTGTTCGGAATCAATGGGGAGCACCTCCACTATCAACTCCATGAGACTCTCTAGCTCTTCATCAGAGTAGTTGAATGAACCAGCTCTGTGGCCGTTGTTGTTGTCGGCCATGGCGTTGTTGTTAAGGAAAATAATGCAGGGAATGGGACAATGGCCGGGGGCATCCTCCTCTTGCTCTCTTCTTTGGTGCAACAGAGAGAGGTAGTAATAATAGTGTATAGCAACTAAATCAACCGGTGGGGACATTGTTTTCCATGGTGCAGGCGCCTTCGTGCCATTCTTGTTGTTGTTAACAGAGGAGGCGCGGGGACATTGTTTTTTTTATCCATTCTTGTTGTTAACAGAGGAGGCACCATGGTGAATAGAGGCGCCTTGTTCTTTACTACAACAACGGAGTCTTAATTTTCGCGGGCTTTCTGTTGAGTCTTCCAAGAGTCCCTCAACGGACTCGAAATTTTTATTCATGGATTCCGCTCTAAATTTAGAGTATTTAGGACTGGATAGTTTGACTGGTTCTAAATGTGCTAAATCTAGAGTCAAATTCACTAAATTTTTGGTCTGTCAGTCTTTCAAATCTAGAGTTTTTAGAATGATGGGAATCACCCATTACCATCAAAGTTTCACCTTACAAGTAGTTATAGAATATGATAATACTACTACTGTCATTACTTGTAAATACTAGTACTAGTGCTAATTCAGTGTGCAAGAGCATTACTAGTACTAGTACTAGTACACCACCAGCATGAGCAGCAGGGGGCGGGACAAGGAACCACAGGAGGAGGAGGAGGAGGAGGGAACAAGGACAATGAGGAGGAGCACCTGCCCAGAAGCACCAGCAACTGTATAACAGATGTACAACAGGACAAATAAATAGTGGTAATGATACTAGTAGTAGTAGTATCATCTTCTTGCTACTAATACTGGTTATTTGTTATTAGTACTAGTACTAGTATTAGTACTACTACTAGTACTGTACTCTACTAGTAGTACTACTAGTATTTTTTTAGTACTACTACTGGTGGTGGTAGTATCACCTACTATTATAAGTATCATCCCCATCTTCCTGCTACTACTTGTGCTGTAGTACTGTACTAGTTATTTTTTTCAAAAGTTCCTCAATAGTAGGAGGAGGGAAGGAAGATGAACAATAGCAGAACAAGAAGTACCTTCTGGTGTCCCCTAACTTCTTGTCCAAATGCCTACTAATCCTGTCTTCAGCAAATCTGTGATGCAGTCATAGATTATGGACCCTTAATTTTTGCATAATGACTAGCTACTTTGACTAAAAAACTGGGTTGTACTGCAGTTTACAGCCGGGCACGTGCTGAATTTTTGAATCACACCAGTGTGCGACCAAATAGTTTTGCAAGTAGTTTTGCTTGCACGTTCTGTTGCTGTAGTAGCCCAAGTACGAGTTGAATCTTTAATCCCATGAGTCATTAGTACACAGTAAAAAGATGGCCCAAAATACACGCACAGTTCAAAATACAATATGTCATCACAAAATCTTGTCCAAATACACCACTTCTATGGAATTTTTGTCATGATGCCAGTTGACTTGATGGAAATAAATTCTTGATGAACATAGCTATTGGTCTAATATATCATCCAATGTTGCACCAATACTGCTCTGTGAATATTGCTCCTTCATGAGGATGCTGATGATAGCAGTAAGGCAACTTGTTGTCAATTGTCAGACAAAGAGGAGTCCTCACAGTCATATGTTGAAGCTACCATTATCCCAGTGAAAGCGCTTCTTGTTCCAACAACCGACATCTATTTGCCCCCCCCCCCCNGAAGCGCGACCACAAAGAAATCCAATAAGAAATTGCGATGAGGTGTCCCGATCTTTCTGCAATTGTTTCTTATTTAGATTCCCCATACAAATGTATCGTAGATAACATACACAAATAATGAAAGTGACCCTAGACGGGCAAAYGACAGACTGCAAATTGTGAGACAACAAAGAATGATCACCTCATCATTAGTCATTGGGTGATTCCCGTTACTCTAAATCTTTAAAACTCTAAATCTAGAGATCTAGAGTAACGGGAATCAAGACATTCAACGGACAGACAGAGAGGATGCCAGCTCAATTGCAGTCTTTTCCGGAATCTGGAATCTTATTTATTTTCAACGGAAGAATCAGCAGAGTGGATCCTCTCCGAACCCTCCTCAGCCTCACTAACAATGAAGCCTTTCTTTATGTCAAAGTCCTCCTCGCCGGTACCAAGGTTTGCTTTCCTTCCTATCAAGTAATGGGCGAGCCTGGCAAGCTTCACATACCTAGGCATGTTTGGGTTACCAGTTGAGCTTTTCTTTTTTTGATGGCGTTGTACTTGTTCCTGATGGATTTCTTGCTTCTATCAAAGGGATACTTTATATCATGCTTGGTGACAACAGTATCCCCCTGTTCGGAATCAATGGGGAGCACCTCCACTATCAACTCCATGAGACTCTCTAGCTCTTCATCAGAGTAGTTGAATGAACCAGCTCTGTGGCCGTTGTTGTTGTCGGCCATGGCGTTGTTGTTAAGGAAAATAATGCAGGGAATGGGACAATGGCCGGGGGCATCCTCCTCTTGCTCTCTTCTTTGGTGCAACAGAGAGAGGTAGTAATAATAGTGTATAGCAACTAAATCAACCGGTGGGGACATTGTTTTCCATGGTGCAGGCGCCTTCGTGCCATTCTTGTTGTTGTTAACAGAGGAGGCGCGGGGACATTGTTTTTTTTATCCATTCTTGTTGTTAACAGAGGAGGCACCATGGTGAATAGAGGCGCCTTGTTCTTTACTACAACAACGGAGTCTTAATTTTCGCGGGCTTTCTGTTGAGTCTTCCAAGAGTCCCTCAACGGACTCGAAATTTTTATTCATGGATTCCGCTCTAAATTTAGAGTATTTAGGACTGGATAGTTTGACTGGTTCTAAATGTGCTAAATCTAGAGTCAAATTCACTAAATTTTTGGTCTGTCAGTCTTTCAAATCTAGAGTTTTTAGAATGATGGGAATCACCCATTACCATCAAAGTTTCACCTTACAAGTAGTTATAGAATATGATAATACTACTACTGTCATTACTTGTAAATACTAGTACTAGTNCATTACCATCAAAGTTTCACCTTACAAGTAGTTATAGAATATGATAATACTACTACTGTCATTACTTGTAAATACTAGTACTAGTTCTAATTCAGTGTGCAAGAGCATTACTAGTACTAGTACTAGTACACCACCAGCATGAGCACCAGCAGGGGGCGGGAGGAACCACAGGAGGAGGGGGAGGACGAGGAGGAGGAGGGAACAAGGACAATGAGAGGAGCACCTGCCCAGAAGCACCAGTGCAACCAGCAACTGTATAACAGACGTACAACAGGACAAATAAATAGCGGTAATGATACTACTAGTAGTACTAGCTAGTATCATCTTCTTGCTAGTACTAATACTACTGCTGGTTATTTGTTCTCCTTGTTACTAGCTAGTAGTACTACTAGTATTAGTAGTACTAGTACTGTACTCCTACTAGTACTACCAGTATTTTTTAGTACTACTACTGGTGGTAGTAGTATCACCTATTATAAGTATCATCCCCATCTTCCTGCTACTTGTGCTGCTGTAGTACTGTACTAGTTATTTTTTTCAAAAGTTCCTCAATAGTAGGAGGAGGGAAGGAGGATGAACAATAGCAGAACAAGAAAGACCTCCCGGTGTCCCCTAACTTCTTGTCCTCCTTGTACTACTACTGGTAGTAGTACTAGTAGTAGATAATACTAAATAGTAGCAGTGGTAGTGATGTCATGATATTACAATACTAGGGATCTACTGTTACTATTATAAGTAGTAGTAGTAGTAGTAGTAGTAGTAGTAGTACTAGTAGTACTAGTAGTAGTACTACAGTATATTGAACTTCCACAGAGACAAACACTGGTGTTGACATCAACTCTGCTGCTGTCACCAGTCAGCACTAAAAAATAATACTAGTACTACCCCAGCAACAAGCAAGAAAATCAAACACCATGGCACAAAAAATTACAGCAGCAAGAAAATACCAACCCACAACCAACACATTCAGACATTATCCTCTCCTGTTGTTCCTAGTGCTGGTGACAGTATCTTGTTGTCTTCTTCTTCTTTTCCTCTTCACCTACTAGTACTAGTACTAGTACTACTAGTGGTAGCATTAGTATTAGTACTATTATTATCATCATCATTATCATCATGTTTTTTGTTGTTGAAAGTATTCCAATGGTCTCAACTACTTCTAGCAACCTTTCTGTTGCCTTTTATGGCATACTTCTAGTACTAATCAAAACAAAAAGAAAGAAATTGGCTGAAAAGAAGAACACCAGCATTTAAAAAAAGCAGTAAGAAGAAGTATGTATTCAACAAATGCCTAATCCTATCTTCAGCAAATCTGTGATGCAGTCATAGATTATGGACCCTTAATTTTTGCATAATGACTAGCTACTTTGACTAGAAAAATGGGTTGTACTGCAGTTTACAGCCGGGCACGTGCTGAATTTTTGAATCACACCAGTGTGCAACCAAATAGTTTTGCAAGTAGTTTTGCTTGCATGTTCTGTTGCTGTAGCCCAAGTACGAGTTGAATCTTTAATCCCATGAGTCATTACACAGTTAAGAGATGGCCCAAAATACACGCACAGTTCAAAATACAATATGTCGAGCGCGCCTACTGACATCACAAAATCTTGTCCAAATACACCACTTCTAGTATGGAATTTTTGTCATGATGCCAGTTGACTTGATGGAAATAAATTCTTGATGAACATAGCTATTGGTCTAATAGTATAGTATCATCCAATGTTGCACCAATATCTCCAGCAACAGTCCTATCCACAGCACTATTTCAACAGCAACAGCAGTATCAACAGCAGTAATCAGCTATCAACACCAGTTATCAAGGACAACACGACAACGCTATAAACAACATCATCAGCAACAAATCAACAGCACCCATCTGCAGCACTAATCAGCAGCACACCCCACTTCTTTATCAGCAACGCTCAGCATCACTGACAAGCAAAAGAAGTAATAGCTCTAGCAGCACTCATATCCACACTAGTAGTATCAGCAACACTACCAACCAGCAAGTTATTGATATCAGCTAGTACCAAGGACAGCAAATTGATGACAACAACAAAGTGACGCTAGCAACAAGCAACACTATCAGCATCACTATCAGCAACGCTCAGCAACACTAGTAGCAGGGAAACTCAGCAACATTATCAGCAACATTATCAGCAACACTATCCATGCCACTGAACAACATAATGAAAACAAGAGCACAACAACTAACAACAACCAACAACAACCAACAAAAACAAGAAGGACAACGTGACAACCAGTAACATGAGTCAGGGCCCTTATGGCATCCCAATCTGCAGCCTTCAAAGCAGCCTTTGAGTTAGAATTAGATGTGGAAACTTTTTTTGAGGATGATGAAAGCTCAAGTGATGAAGAGGTTGTTGATGATATTGAGCCAAATTATGATTCAGAGGCTTCTGGAATGAGTCACAAGGAGATGGCACAAGCAGAGTTCTTCAATGTAGTCACTAAGAGCCAAACAGCTTGGAATTGGGACAATGCAATTGAGCCTCATGATACTTGTAAGGAAGTTTGCTACTAGAGATAACATGTTTCTGGATGAGAGGAAGGGGTAGCTCAATATCTTCAAGTTGCAGCAACATGGGCTCAAGAAAGATTGCATTGAAAACAGAGATGCCTTCTTCTTCTTTCAGTTGCTGCTACCTATTGCTCCAGACTCAATGGAAGCTCAGCAGTATTAGATTGAACCTGAGAAGAAGTATACTTATTATAACAAGGTCATGCAATATACTGATGTCTACATCTCTGATTCAAACAAAGGGGAAGGACACCAAGTGAAACCTGTTACCTTACCTGAAACAGTTCAGTTTGATGGGATCCTTTTTATGCATGGTACTTGTGAAGGCACAAAGTTTCCTGGAAATTACTTTCATAAGAAGAACGTTTCACGTCTTGCTAAGCCTATCACTGCTGTGAAAACTGTACCAGCTGATCCTGACAAAGGAACCAAAGCCTACAGAGGAGTCCATTGTTTATTCCAGAGCACTGGAGCGTACAACTTAGGATCAGTGAACTCTATTTTATCTTCCTCTCTTTACATTCATCAGAAGGAAAGGGTAAGGGGGACAGAGAAGCGGCAATGGGGCATTGAAATGAATGAGTCTTATCTTTATACTTATGGAAACTTGACCATGTCAATGCATATGTCTCCAGAGCCAAAATGGGTTACAAATCGTGGAAATACTACCACTGCTGCAATTAATCATACAAAAGCCTTGGCCATTGCTGCAGCATACCATATCTACAAAGAATGTACTGATGGTAGCCTAGGTGATGAGTGGAAGGTAAGCAATGTGATGAGCTCTTGTGGATTCCGCCAGAGGCTTGCTTTGCAGATGATTAAATACGATCCAGTGGAGCAGGCATATAACTGTGATGCTAGACTGAGGCAGTGTACAAAAGCAACACAAAGGTTAAGAACTGGTAGGGCAACTAGAAGAAAAGTGTGTCAGACTTTCCTTAAGAATGGTAAGTTGCTTGGATATCACAATTTGCAGACCATTGCGGAGAAGCAGGTCAATGGAAGATTTTGCTCTGCATTGAAAAGGTAAACCCATAATGTTACCATGGAATTTGTCACATGGACATAAAAAAAATACTTTCTGAAACTAAATTGTGATCAAATAAATTGTCTGCTACAGCATTGAAAAATCCAGACCTAAGCATCCACAAAACATTTGCCACCTCTGCTTCCAACACACTACTATAACCCAGTATTTGTTTTCAACCATGCCGCCAAGTAAATAATCACTGGAGAGTGTCACACAAGAGTTGCTGGTCTTCAACGCATGCTCCAAAAAGAAGCATCAAATAATTCTTTGGCCTCTTCTGCTACCTTTTCCCAGACACTTGTTCAAACCACGTTGACTCAATTCTTTTTAACCAGCAACCTAAATACTGTGTATTTACCCCGGTCAGGCCTCCACAACATCAATGCTAACTAGAACACATCTAACCTACTACCGCACTACCCAAAAGTACCCACCTGTTCAACTACAAGGGTCTTCGACACTATGTGGGATTTTGTTTGAAATCAAAGGAGGTCCACANAACACTATATCTCCAGCAACAGTCCTATCCACAGCACTATTTCAACAGCAACAGCAGTATCAGCAACACTTATCAGCTATCAACATTGGTTATCAAGGACAATACGACAACGCTATAAACAACATCATCAGCAACAAATCAACAGCACCCATCTGCAGCACTAATCAGCAGCACACCCCACTTCTTTATCAGCGACGCTCAGCATCACTGACAAGAAGCAACACCACCAGTACTATAGCTCTAGCAGCACTCATATCCACACTAGTAGTATCAGCAACACTTCCAACCAGCAAGTTATTGATGCCAGCTAGTACTAAGGACAGCAAATTGATGACAACAACAAAAAGACGCTAGCAACAACTAGCAACACTATCAGCTCAGCAACACTATCAGCAACACTCAGCAGCAAAACTATCAGCAACATTATCAGCATCACTATCCATGCCACTCAACAACATAACAAAAACAATAACACAGCAACCAACAAAAAGAAGAAGGACAACATGACAACCAGTAACATGAGTCAGGGCCCTCGTGGAGTCCCAATCTGCAGCCTTCAAAGCAGCCTTTGAGTTAGAATTAGATGCAGAAACTTTGTTTGAGGATGATGAAAGCTCAAGTGATGAAGAGGTTGTTGATGATATTGAGCCAAATTATGATTCAGAGGCTTCTGGAATGAGTCACAAGGATGTGAAACAAGCAGAGCTCTTCAATGTAATCACTAAGAGCCAAACAGCTTGGAATTGGGACAACACAATTGAGCCTCATGATACTGAGCGATTTCTTCTATTGGAAGAATGGAACTATTGTTGACAATATTCTTAGCTTTCCAAAGATTCCAGTGGGTTATGGAAGGAAGGATCCAAAGGTGGACAAGAAAGGAGAACCTGAAGACTGGAATGATGTTGATAATCCAGGTGGTTGGCATCCATAATACTGGTAATGCAATATACTGATGTCTACATCTCTGATTCAAACAACAAAGGGGAAGGACACAAAGTGAAACCTGTTATCTTACCTGAAACAGTTCAGTTTGATGGCATCCTTTTTTTGCATGGTACTTGTGAAGGTTTAACTGAAAACATCAATCATAGATGGGGTGCAAAAGATCTTTCATTCAATGAGGACATTGCAAACACAATGACTTGCACAATGTGATATCAAATTAAAAGGAACTTGAAGCTGTGCAAAAATGATTTGGAAAGGACCTATCATGGAGACCCCATCAGTGGCAAGGTAGCTTACAAGTGACTACATCTACAAGACTATTGTCAACAATACAAAATATTTCACTAAATGGGCTGGCTTTGACCTATGTATTGACAAGACGAGCTGACCATATCAAGGCTTTGGTGGTCCACTTGATAACTACCTCAATGGAAAGATTATTACAAGAGGTAGACAAACAGTACTCATGTCTGATGTTGATTGCATCTGTCAGAGGGCATGGAAACATTGATATTGTGGATGGGAATCTAGCAATGATTGACATTTGTGCACTGGCCCTGCTGAAGTGCTCCACCTTGTTGAAAATGTTGTTCTTTCTAACATTGGACCTGCAAGGATTTAGTACCCACAAAATTTCCTGGAAAGTACTTTCATAAGAAGAATGCTTCACATCTTGCTAAGCCTATCACTGCTGTGAAAAGTGTACAAGCTGATCCTGACAAAGGAACCAAAGCCTACAGAGGAGTCCATTGTTTATTCCAGAGCACTGGAGCGTACAACTTAGGATCAGTGAACTCTATTTCATCTTCCTCTCTTTACATTCATCAGAAGGAAAGGGCAATGGGGCATTGAAATGAATGAGTCTTTTGAGGTTTATCTTTATACTTATGGAAAACTTGACCATGTCAATGCATATATCTCCAGAGCCAACATGGGTTACAAAACGTGGAAATACTACCACTGCTGCAATTAATCATACAAAAGCCTTGGCCATTGCTACAGCATACCATATCTACAAAGAATGTACTGATGGTAGCCTAGGTGATGAGTGGAAGGTAAGCAATGTGATGAGTAAGTTGCTTGGATATCACGATTTGCAGACCATTGCAGAAAAGCAGGTCAATGAAAGATTTTGCTCTGCATTGAAAAGGTAAACCCTTAATGTTACCATGGAATTTGTCACATGGACATAAAAAATACTTTCTGAAACTAAATTGTGATCAAATAAATTGTCTGCTACAGCATTGAAAAATCCAGACCTAAGCATCCACAAAGCATTTTCCACCTCTGCTTCCAACACCCTACTATAACCCAGTATTTGTTTTCAACCATGCCTCCAAGTAAATAATCACTGGAGAGCGTCACACATGAGTTGCTGGTCTTCAACGCATGCTCCAAAAAGAAGCATCAAATAATTCTTTGGCCTCTTCTGCTACCTTTTCCCAGACACTTGTTCAAACCACGTTGACTCAATTCTTTTTAATTTAACCAGCAACCTAAATGCTGTGTATTTACCCCGGTCAGGCCTCCACAACATCAATGCTAACTAGAAAACATCTCACCTACTACCGCACTACCCAAAAGTACCCACCTGTTCAACTACAAGGGTCTTCGACACTATGTGGGATTTTGTTTGAAATCAAAGGAGGTCCACAGGAAACATCGCAATGATGCAAGCAGGTGCAGCAGTCTACTGTAGGACCAGATTGTAGAGCGACAATGTCCAGAGCTCTGTAAAAGCAGGGTTTACCAATATCGAAGATGGCGGCAGAGCTGCTCTAGATCTCAGATGAACCTTTGTCAAACTTGAATTCTATCAACAGAATTGTTGCGTTCGATACTGTGYTGCCCACCAAGAAATTCGTAGAGGTGTCAGTTTGCATCAGCGCACATTATCGTTGCGAAGAAAACTGCTCTTGCCAGGGTGACGCATCGTGGGACCAAACGACCGTGCTGTTGTCGTAGCTAGCCACGACGACCACGGACGGTTGCTTCGGATGAGCTTTCACGGTGCATGCGGGTCGTCGAGCAGGTCCCTCGAGGATTTGCACCGGGTTTGCCCGAACAATATCGTAAAGCGCACACGCTCCGTTCTCCGATCCAGTGACAATGGTGGCATCGTCGGCCAGAATGTCCACATCCAATCCATACCGACCCGCAGTGTGATGAGAATCATAGGTGTTCAAGAGTTCTCCTGTATCCGCTTCCATTARCCGGATAGTTCCATCCAGGCAAGACACCGCGATGCAATTTCCATCGCTTGTGTGCGCCATGCTTGTAATGGGGGATCCAAAGTCGTCGCACTCCATCAAGCCCTTCCTCAAATCGTAGGTTCGAAGGACTCCATCGACGGATGCCGTCCGAATGACTGCTATATTGTTGTTGTGTACCCCACCAGATTCTCCGTGGCACGTGTTTTGTCGAACGCACACACTGGTGACAGAATCTTTTGCATCATTCAAAACTTGCATAGGTTTGTTGTCACGGGAACGGCCGTCCCAGATAGCAACAGTGGCATCGTACGATGCTGTTARATATGCCTCTCCACCGCATGGCGTGGCCGCCACTGCATTGATCCGCCCGGTGTGGTGGTTTTGGCCCAGCCTTCGTTTGACCTGATTGGACACCAGGTCGGTTACAACCAAAGCTTGATTGGATGCCGCCAAGACAGCCTGAGGCGATGACGAAGAAGAYGATGTGGTTGTGACACAAAGCGCCGAGACATCGTGCGTCATCCCTCCTGAATACGTCTGAATATTCAAGGCCGGGGGCAGATCCTGAAAAGCGATTTCTTCTTYGAAACTACCCTCCGCTCGCGCTACGYTCCCGCGAAACAAAGTTGATGACGGTTTGGTCGTAGAGGCACTGGCACTAACAGCGTGCTGAGGGTCTACACGAAAGGGATTCCAAAGTTTTACTGTACGATCCAACCCTCCCGTGAGACACCACTTGCCATCGGGCGTAAATGTGATCGCTTGCACAGGTCCATCGTGACCGCTCAATCTGGCAACCGGGACAGATGGCAGGTTATGGTTTTTGTTCTCGGGAATTCTTCTATTTGTTACCGACGATAAAGATGATGCCTCATTCATTCTAGGACGACATGGCACAGATAAAAATAGCTTGCGGGAATCCTTCAGAGAGAAGTGGTTTTGTTGATGYTCCTTGTTACTGTAATCGTTCCAATACAATAATCATTTTTCAGTTTGGCGCGCTCGTATTTTGATTTTTCTTTACTCAAGCAAGTACGAGCTTGTAAGTAGTACTCCGAAGTAGTACGGTACGATACGGTAGTATCAGCGCCATCAATCGTCGAGTAAAATTTGAGATTTCAACTTCGGGGGCGCCCTTCTCAAAATTAAACCTGTTTTCACCTTCATTTCTTCGAATTTGAGTTGGGGTGAATCCTGGGTTAGTAGTACGTACTACTCGTACTCGTACCAACGCACAACAATCGTTATTTTCGAAGACCAACTCACGCTGTTGCGRTGCTTCATGCATTTGAAGCGGAATACCACAACAAGTAGTAGATACTYCAGCAGGAAACAGCACTCTGGAAGAGGCCACTGTTCAAGAAAACTAGAAGAGTTTCYCCGAAATTTTCACATATACTTGCTAGATCTAGTAGAAATCAGAGACGTCAATTGGAGTACGACTGACAACAACCAAACAACGAGTTTCATCAGCTATGGTAAAGAGAGATCGCTGGGACTCTTCGAGCTCCGAAGACGAAGGCACCACCAAGAACAAARGCCAGAAGATAACAAAACCAAACATCGCTCCGACTATCAACACCTCCGTTTGTGATGGAAGAAAAGCCAATGGATCGAAAAAGAGACTCGAGGATGACAATAATCTCCCCCTCCACAATCCACTCTTGCAGGGATGTCGGTCTGTCTATGATACGTACGACCGAATWGCTAGGCTGAGCGAGGGAACGTACGGGATCGTTTGGAAAGCGAGAGATCTGGCCACCCAGGAAATCGTCGCACTGAAACAAATCAAATTCGAGGATCAACAACAGCTATTACAGGTCCAAGGATTCCCCGTCACAGCCTTTCGCGAGATCAATGTTTTGATGGCACTTTCTTCCCACGAAAATATTGTGTCCGTAAAAGAGATGGTGGTCGGGAGTGGTGCGGATAAGGTATTCATGGTCATGGAATTCTTTCACAAGGATTTACAGGAAGCCATGGAGAAGCGCAAGTACCCGAATGTGTTGCGGCAAGCCGAGTTGAAGGGGATTATGCAGCAAATTTTGAGGGGGATGGATTACATGCATTCGAAATGGTTCATGCATCGGGACATGAAGACATCCAACATACTCGTACATAAAAGTGCGGGCCGGGTCGCGTTGTGTGATTTTGGATTGGCACGGCGGTTCCAGGATCCACCTTCAACAAATCTCACGCAACTCGTCGTTACACTTCATTATAGAGCRCCCGAATTGCTGTTCGGGGAAACAAGATACACGCCAAGTATCGACATTTGGAGTATTGGTTGTATCTTTGGAGAGTTGATTCAGCAGGAGGCTATGATGCAGGGGCAGGGGGAACTTGATCAGATCGACAAGATATTTACAATGCTTGGGGGACCGACCGAGGAAAAATGGCCTGGTTTCTCGAAATTGCCGAATGCGAAAATGTTCCGATGGAGGTCAGCGGAGAAACAAGAAAAGACAATACGACTGTACGAGCTCTTTCCAATCAACCCTCCTCCACACTTCAAGCAAACCTTTCTGGATGCAAACGGTCGCGATCTGTTGTGCAAGCTACTCGCATTGGATCCAGCAAAACGAATCACCGCCAACGAAGCCTTGGAACACAAATTTTTCAAGGAGGGCGTCCCGCCGATGAATCCAGACTTTTTTGAAACTTTGTGATTTTTGCTGTTATTAAATTTTCTTGGGAGCTGTGGCATCGGTCGGTTTCGTGCTCAAGAACCTACTATAATGATTAAAGCGCGCCACAACAGAAAAAAACGAAATTGATACCAAATTCCTCGATATGAAAAAATTCAACCATAGGTCAATTGGACGCCTTCCATGGAGACTATAGTTACCGCTTCTAATTTGCAAACTGCTTTACTTCCTATTTTTACGGGGATGACAACGCAGTCAAGCTTGCGTTCGCAATGGTTTGAAAGGAGGCAGTAGCGCAAAGGACTCTTCAGCCAATAATCTTAATTTGTCTGTGACGCCACTAGTCTCGTGGTCTGCGAAGAATTTTGAAGAAAGTTCAATGTTTGCAAAATCGCTTCGTTTCGCCCATCTCGCTACRTGTTGACCCAGTTTTTCTCCATGCGCGTTGACAACATCGTCGGTCCGAACAAGCTGAACGAGAGAGCCGGGTGGGCATAATTTGATGTACTGATCTCTGTTCTCCGCTTTTATCCGGGATTGATTTGTCAAAAATTCTTCCACCTCACGCTTAAACTGAGAGTCGTTTATTTCTTCTTTTTTATAGAGTATTTCATCAATCGCCCTGGATATCCCCTCGACAGAGTAATCATCATACTTTTTCACCAAGTTTGTTACTTGATACTTTGGGATCTTAATACGATAGATCATTTCAAGAACACGATCCCGCAATTCCTCAAAATTTTCAACATTTAATCTTGCAATGATATCATCATTCACGACAAAAGAAGTTGTAAACTTCTCAGTCTCGATGGCAAGGTTCTCACTCATGGTACARCCAGGCGGGCTAAATGCGAGACAATGAAGACAAGGGTATTTTGGTCTAAGCAGAACCGAGAGAATTGATGCGACTCCGGCCCCCAGAGAATGGCCAATAATTCGCAGCTTATAACCTTCATAATCAGCCATGGCCTTCTCCAACTTGCTGTGTTTCTTCATATCTTTATACAGCCATTTTGCAGTAGAAAGCATCCCAGTGTGACAGTACTTTTCTACASCGTCAGATTCAGATTCCTCCCCRAGATCCTCAATAGTAAGTTTYTTTGGAGAAACATTGAAATCAGTAACAGCTGATTCCAGAGWCATTGTGCCTCTAATCGAAATTACGATGGATTTCCATTCATGATCCAATAAAATCATATATGGTATCTCTTCAACGGTGTCTCTGTAGTAAGCATAAACAATATCTTTATCGGTCAATCCTGATAGGGCTTTAAGAGCAATCGTATGCGAACGACAACCATTATCCTTCTCAATRTGATCTGATCTCGCGGTAGAAAAGCACGCACAATTTCGAAGGAGAAGAGAGAAGAAAGAACATGATCCAGTAAAGGGGTACCTCAACATATATCCGGCTATAGTATATGCCGACTCAGCCAAAATCATGAAGCGAGCRGCTTCGTTGATAAGGTCAACTTCTTTTGAGTTTAGTTTTGAGAGCATTTCCGTCGYAAGCTTCTCTCCTCCTCTCTCTACTTTGTCAGACTGAGCATCCATATCAATCGGTTTTTGTTGTACAGATTCAAAAACTTTTCCATCCGRCAAGACCTCAATAGCCATTTTTTYTCCTTCTTCTTCGGCTCTATTGTTGTCTGAGTTAAGCGTGCTCTCGGATCGCATAGAGAGACAGGATTTTTTCTTAGAATGTTCTTTTGACACTAAACCATGGTCATGCCTYAGGCGATTCTTTGTCTCAATTTTTTTCAGTCTGTTCTCCAACGCAACCATGTACAACCCTACATAAATATCAGACACAGTCAGATTGAGTCTACCGTTGGCTTTCAAATAGTTGGCCATGAGCAAGGAAAAGTTTGCAAAGTCACTGCGTACTGCTTCATCCCCACCTAGGATGCCGCAGGTGAAGATMCCTGTGCAGCCAATACAGCATTTCATCAGCAATGAACATTTTCTTTCTGACGACRCAAACTTGAGTTTMGCGTTTGCAGTAAGTTTGTGGTGACAACATGTCAWKGAAATAATTGTRAAGCCATAGAAGAATATATCAATCCAGTGCGTCACAGCCAGACATATGTAAGYTACCAAAAATTCCCATTGTGCGAAGCCACATACATCAATTAAGTCCATGAAGGAATCAGCAACTGCGTAATCACCAAGGCATTCGCAATACTTRTCAACCTTAGGAAGAAGCACGATAGATAGGGAGAATACGGCCACCCGAAGAGTGTTCATGACAATTGTATCGAAATAACATAGTCGTTTGATTGGCTTTCGTGGACTATCGTCGGTCTATCAAGTCGCAACAGTRATTTTCGAACGGAAAGAAAGGGTGAGTCAACTAATGAAAAAACTACTTCAAATCTCAAATCATTGCTGAGATTMAACCTACAGGTGTTCCCTTYCCACTGAAGTAAAACAACGGTACCGCTAAACAAAGCGTAAGAAAGCAGAGAATAAGAGAAGTGGTTGCATAAAGCCATGCCCAAACAATCTCATCCGTTCCTTCGTCATAGCAATTTTCGACTAGTTCTAAATCAYTTTCTAWAGTTGCCACGAAAAGGCCACTYGCAAAAGTCGCCTGCAAAACCGTCCAGATCGAATGCATTATTACTAAAACGCGCAAATCATCTCCAGCCATCGCCAGCTGAAATTAAAGCAACATAATWCATTTGAAAGAGAAGACATAGATGTAAGCGATGAAGATATGATCGGTAGAACCAAAAGAAAGAAGAAATTCAGTATTGCGTCAGCTCGTGGTAAATGGCTGACACCGAGAGAGTCAGCTAAGATGCAACGAGGGGCGGCCCTTAAGGTACGAGGSACGACAGTCARAAACCAAGGGATAGACGATGCCAGTAAAAGTCACTGTGGRAGTCGTTTTCGTCTTTTCGTTTCCAAAATGATTCATTCTTCACACACCTTTTGACCGAAGATCTTTAAAGCCGGCATGGCTGAATCGAGAATGAAAATAGCCCTTCAACTATGCTTCTTTTGTTTCGGGTTTATTGGGTGTTGCACAAGAAGCTTGTACTTCTACTGTTGTTGAACTTTTGTACAGTCCTCGAAATGCAAATAATTCACATCGGCGCGAACCGTATGGTACTTGTTTGTACCGGTAGTTGAAAAATAACGATACAGAAGTATCCTAAAACAAAAGATGTACTACGGGGTCCCGGTACGTACTCGTACTCGTACATAAAGTAAGAATGMTCGTCTACAGAACGAACTTTCGATGGCACCTGTCACCCACCGACCGTCACTACCATCCTTGAGCGATAGGTACGTACGTACCTATAGTACCTGTACAACGAAGTGCGAACTTTTAAGTCCAGTACGAGTATGGTAGCGTACAGTGCGTATCGTACGGTAGTTTCCTCGATTGATGCTTGCCGGAATAGAGTATCGGTACGAGTGTCCTTCTATGTCATCCACACGGTACAATAGATGAATCGTTGTTTTCAGGTTGAACATAAAAGTGCCCATGATACCTGTAACGAAATATCCCCTAGTTGTCTCTTAAATAAATTTTGCGGGGAGGCAGTCAGTACTCGACTTCTAATAGACTTACCGGTAACGTAAGTTAGACTATTAATTCTACAACATGTGTCGTTGCAAGTTTTTAAAAACTACTGTATTACAGTACTACGGTACGTTCTGCATGTGCGATGCGAAGTTCCGTACAGTGCGTACCGTACGGTAGTATTTTTTGTCTCTGAAAACATCATGCAACAAACAAGCACCCACCATACCACCCACCACACACCACACATCACTTGGAGCTCAGAAATACGTACGAAGGTACCGTACGTTTCACTAGTATCTCAAACACTGAGATGCATTAGGATTCCATATTCTCGATCTCAMTCGATTCACGACACACTCGAATAAAAAACCAACTGAACATCAATGAAACAAACTCGGCGAGATGCGAGCCGCGAGTGAAGTTGTGTCTGCCGCCTATGCTCCGATGATTGAATTGTACTACTCGTAGCCATACGTAGGGTAAACTACGGTAGGAATCGGCTTCATCTGAATCATCTTTCAACACTAAAAGTCTGTGATGCTCGGAACGAACTTGTGAACACCGAACTGACCGCAAGATACCCATAGTTTGATGCATCACTTGGGTAGGAGTTGTATACAACAATAACAGAAGGCGGGAATTCAAAATCAAATTCGAAATGGACGACCAACAAGAACAAGAAGATCTTTTTCGCTGTGCCATTTGCGGTATCGCCGAGGGCGACTCGTCCAACTTGACTTCGCAGTCGAGTCTCCAGACAAATGCTACGGTTGGCTGTGGCCATCAATTCTGTAATTCTTGTATTGATCGAGAGCTCTCGCGCCGCCGGGAATTCCCGTGTCCGATCTGCGAAACACCCGTCAAGAAGGTGACACTCTCTACACGAACGCTCGACGACGTTTTGTGCGAGAAAGACACGAGCTGGAGACGCCGCGTGCTGAAGGTCTTTAACAAGACGCAACAGGATTTTTCTTCGCTACTAGAGTACAACAATTATCTCGAGGAGGTGGAGGACATTATATATTCGATCGTCAACGAGGAACCAAATGCCGAGGAATGCAAGGGAAAGATAAAGGCATACGAAGAAAACCACCGGACGGAAATCGTCATTCGACAATCCCAGCGGGCCGACGAGGAACGCGCCATACAGGATCAGATTGCCGCGGAGCAACGGGAAGCCGAGCGGCGCAAGCGTGATCTACAGGAGGAAGAGAAGGCCATCGCCCTGACAAAACGAAAGTTCAAGCAAGAGTCGGCGGAGGTCTTGCTGGGMGAGCGAGACGAGGTTTCTGCCGARCTCAAGGCCGCACAGATGCAGGGCTATCGCAACGAGCTCAAGCGACAGCGCGAGGGCCGACAGGCGAATGCCGCCACAATGTTCGTGTCGCCCCGAGTGCGGGAACCAGAGGGAGGCATTCGCAAGCGAGACACAAACAAACTGGATCGAGAATTCTATCGCAAGCGCCAGGCAGCGGGGTAAGTGCTAGGCATACTTCGAGTATGGATATGGGACGAATGTCTGTCACGATACGCGATGCGATGTGTTGCGTATTCTCTAAGACTGACATAGGACGTCACACTCACTGGTTTTCGTTTCGTGTTGCGCTTATTTTAGTGGTGGAATTCCAGCTGGCAGCCTGACATCACAAGAACGAAATTGGAACGAAACCGTTTCGACGCTCTTCGAAGGAATGGTATGCTAGCGCCACAAACAAACSGCTTCTGTTTCAAACCAAATAMAAAATCTTGTACAATCCTTCGTATGAATAAAYTCCTTTCAAACCGTGACCGCATTCACAACGTCGTGAGTCAGAAAGAATTCTTCGGTCACCGAGAGTTTGGGAGAGACAGTTGAAAGGATAAAATTCTGTACGTCGTACTGCTCTAAGAATTGCGGTCAAAACATATTTTTTATCTTTAGAAATGGAGTAGGTAGAGCTGCTAATTATTCAAGMAGGTTCCGACTAGACAGCCAAGTCTATCKCTGGAGGACTAAATCATACATCACGGTTTRCCCGATGCGCTATTGAAATATTTCCGCAACGTACCGCACGAAGAGCAACATATTTGGTGAGGACCGATCAATTTGCCTTACTACAGAGTACTCTTTAACGATTCTTAGGTCATCCTGTATATCCCCAGTAGTCAAGGATGACATGGCGCTTTCCATTCTTGTCATTTTGACASAGTTCGATTCTCAGCAAACTTTGCCAAATTTTCATAATGTCGATTGCACAAATGCCCATTGTCAGATAATAGGTCCCGCCTCTTACATRACCGTTTGATGCCAGMAGAGGTCTCGCTTGTTTTGTTCRCGGGTACCAACTAGTGTCTAACTTCATATACCGCCGTTGTCGATGGGTTTCTCACGGMTATTGGAGAGAGCTCGCTTCACTCGCTCCATTGAAGAGCTTTATGAAGGTATATGGGATCCTATCGGCAGCTGTAGGGCTCTTTCTATGGGACAAAATTTGAAACGCACTTGAARCACAATGTGCAGCAATCAAATCAAATGCGGGTTACTTTATGTCCATACTTGAATGATWGTCTGGGTTGGGGAGTGGAGGKGGTTCGTTACAGGGGKTCGGGGTTGTCGTTCCGMGCACTTTTTCAACGGTGCCAAAAAATTCAATACCAGAAATTGCTGAAAATCCAAAATCCTGAATGATAACGAAGCGAAGTGTACGCGTWATGCGGTTACGGGAAGATTTTCAAGCTTCGCTGAAAAACCGGAATTCAAACCTGTGCTTCCGTTTCTAMGCAGCGAGTACTAAGTCGTGCTTTTCCCGTCCCTTGCCCCGTCAAGTTTCTGTTTCACGCAGTGCAGAGCTGTTTTTGGTTGYCAAGAAGRACAACTGCAACTCTTTTGAGACCTTCTCGTTACTTTTMACGTAGGTGTCGTTATGTAGTACTGTAATCAACAACAAACTGCGACGTMATTTTCCAAAGACAAGACATCATCATCTTCCGACCCACAATTACAGTAAGATATCCACAACGACAACCGAAAGACAAACGAAGAATCATGTCTCTCTTTCGCCGGAAAAATAGCCAGAAAGGCAAAATCGAGAAGGAGGATATCCTGCAACACCAAGTAGAAGATCTTCAGGCAGAAGTGAAACGACTCAGCAACCGACTTGTAGCGATGCAATCACGGGTCAAAAGCAAGGCTACGGTGTCTCATCGCACAGCCAAATCCTCTACTCCATCATCCTCGCYACGACCAAGCGCGATCASTCCGAGCAGACTCGCTCTCGATCGAAAAGACCAGACACCAAACAACAAGTCATTTGGGAAGAATAAAKCAATGGAACGTGYTTTCGTTCCAAAAGAAATCGATTTTGTGTCAAGCGAATTTCTYCAGAACCAGAAGGAACCTTCTCGACCAGAACCAAGTGTTTCGAATATTTTCCCTCTCACCGATGAACCGCAACTCCCAATCTCGGAGAYGATCGCRGCGAAGCAYAAAGGAAATGGGTGCGTTGCAAATGCCAAAATAAAAGGGAAAGACCTAACGGAATGCTCCAGTTCTATTCATAAGAAGGTTGTCGTCGATCCTCACAAGAACAAAATCCAACCGTCTACGAAGCTTACCATAGATGGAAGAATCAGCACTAAAGGTCAGACACCGATGTACACATTCAAGGACGGACGAAAGGTCAAACGCATCATTCGAAAGGTCAGGGTTGTTCGACAGGCACCGTCTCCAATACAAACCACACCTTCCTCCGTCACAATTACTACGTGCAACAAGACAATCAGTGCAACGAATCCAAAACAACTTTCTTTGTCCTCCGATGAGAAAGCTTCGGCCCATTCCCGCATCCGCATATCGAATGAAACAAATCTCAAGAATAGAAACATATCACCTCCCAAGAAGGAAGAGAATAAAACAAACAATGGTGCAGACGACGAAGTGGAGCCAACTGACACATTTACGTCGCCTGCCCATGAATCTACTGGTTTCAAATTTCAATCAGAACCGAAGTATGGGTACATAGCGAAACAGAATGAAAAACATACTGCGAAAACTTCTAATTCGATACCACAAGTGCAAGGTGCGAAAAATAATGGTGCTAAACATTTGGTGACAAAAGGTTCAMATTTCAAAAAGGATCTTCTCTCAGATATTAGATCGGGCTTGAAACTCAATRAAGTGGAGCGGKCATCAGAAAAGTTGTCAAGTYCATCAGAAAATATTCTAGCATCGATGCAATCGGGGATGAAACGTTGTCATGCAACTGAGAAAGTCACTCCTGATAAGACACCAGGCTTCGTTTCAAACACTGGAGGAGATGTGCAAACATGCAAAAGTGTGCACTCCATTCAAGCAACTATAAATCCTGCAAGGGGACTTCTAGCTGATATWCGAGCAGGGAAAGACCTAAAGAAAGTTGAAAAGGATACAGAATCGACAGTGGCATCAAAACAGGTTGAATGTGATGTGACAACACCTCTAAATTTTTCAGGAGGCCTTTTAGCTGATATTAGGACCGGCGTGAAGTTGAGAAAGGCGGAAACATCAGCACCGAAAGCTCAAAATCAATCTAATTCCCTTTTGGACGACATAAAAGCAGGTGTAAAGCTCAAACAAATTGATCGATCGCTGTTCCAAGCCTCAAAGAAACGTGAAACTCCGATGAGTGCGCTCTTGGCAAAAATACAACAGAGAAAAGAAGAATGTCTCCGCCAAGAGGCTGMACTCGYATTGGCAACCGAAGAAAGTGAAATCGATTGGTAGCATCTAAAGTACAAATGTAGAATAAAGACTWTTAACGTTGTTTCTGAACTGAYTAAATTTAATTAACGCCGCCTGTATTTGCTCTTCGACTTAAACTTGTGGTGCGCCTTTGCCTTTGGTTTCTTCTTACCTGCCATGTCTGGGTTATAGCCTCTGAAATTGAATGCACTCTTTGCCCTTTCTTCACCTTCGGTCTTWGTCTTCTTTGGAGCATATGCAACTATCTCGTCGGCGAACAAAGCACTATCGCCCAGAGCATCTGATCCAGCTCTCCCTTTGCGCTTCTTTCTTTCAGCTCTTTCAACATCATAATCGTGAACACTCTTACTGTTTTTCATCGCTTCCTTSTCGTAAGCATCTCGTTTGTGTTCTCTTGCAGCTTTTTTCATGGATACTTCGGGCTGGTAGGCAGGTTCGTCATTATCCTCGTCGCCCATGTTCTCAAACATTTCTCTAGCTTCACGAGCTCGGCGTTTCTTTCTCGTCATACGGTGTTTTCCAGTTCCTACCTTTTCTTTGATAAGTCTAGCTTTCTCGGCTGCGGCCTCCTTCGTACTCTTTTTCTCCTTCTCCGACGCAAACCATTGGCGCTGGGGTCTTGATTTGATTTCGTCGGAATGTTCTATTATGTTCTGCGCTCTCATAACCTCCATTTCGGCCAAACGATCCATTTTTGCAACGGCTTCAGCTTGCAGAACTTCTTCCACATGYGGTTCCAAAGACTYAATTTTCTTCACAAAATGAGCAATTACAGCCGCGGGGATGGATCGAGATCTAATAACTGCTTTYTGCGTTTGATTATCACTCGCAATCTTTGTTCTATCAGTAGCGTCTTTCATGATCTCTTTCATTAAGTGTCGTCTTCCCTCTCCAATAAGGGTGCAACTCTTTCCCCGGCGGCCAGCTCGAGCTGTTCTACCAATGCGGTGGATATAGGTCTCAACCTGGTTTGGCATTTCAAAGTTGACGACGGTTTCTACGCGGCTGATATCGAGGCCTCTCGCTGCAAGATCTGTTGCCAGAAGAATTTCGACCTCGCCTTTCCTGAATTTTTCCAACGATTCGAGGCGTTGCRCCTGGGTAAGATTGCCGTGAAGCTCGGCGCACTGGATCCCGCAGAGACCACAGAGAATCATCATACGATGAGCCTTTGCTTTTGTATCGAAAAAGACAATGGTCTGTGTGGAGAAGGTTCGCGTTACTAACGCGATCAGCATAGCCTCACGGTTGATCCCTTCGTTTCCAGATCGAACACGAACAAATTCTTGCTCCAGCCGTGGTGCGACCTCCAGATCTTTGGAGCTGCTCTTGTCACTAATCCGAATGCGGACGGGTCTCTTGAGACTAAGCTTGATCAAGTCATCGACCTTTGTGTTCATGGTCGCACTAAACAGCAGAGTTTGCCTATCGATTGGAGTTGCCTTGATCAATTCGTTCACTTCGTCTTGGAATCCYAAGTCGAGAAGTCGATCTGCCTCATCGAGCACCAAGAATTCCACATCTTCCAGTGAAACACCTGCTGAATTAGTAACGTGATCCAGTAATCTTCCGGGTGTGGCGACAATAATTTGTGGTCGAGTCCTCAGCTCAGAAATTTGAGCGTTCATGTTTTTCGATCCTCCAACCACCAAAACGGAAGTTATTTTTGTAAATTGCGTTAGTGTCGAAATCATTCCCATGCACTGGGCTGCAAGCTCACGGGTTGGTGTCAGGACGAGAGCCTTGGTCCGACCAGGTGGTCTATATATAAGTCGCTCAAGGATGGGCAGCAAAAATGCAGCCGTCTTTCCACTACCGGTTACAGCGCTGGCACAAATATCTCTTTTTGCAAGAGCGACTGGAATGACCGACGCCTGAATTTTGGTCGGTTTCACGTATCCCATGGCAACAATACCACGAAGCAACGGACGGGATAGCGTAAGTTGCGTGAAGGCTTCGATTTCATCGGTGGAATTTTTCTTTCCAGATTCATTGTCAAAAAACTTGGCAGCCTTCTCGGCCTCTTTCCGTGCCTCTTCATCCTCATCTTCTTCTTCCTCATCGTCCTCCTCCACTTCACCAATGCGGGTTTTGAGAACATCTTCTTCCATCGTATTGTTATTTGCATCATCTACTTCATCGTCTGCGTCGTCGTCCGAGTCATCGTCACTGCTGTCGCTATCTCCCTCATCGCTATCCTTCTCTTTKTCATCGTTATCTCTAGATTTGTCGCTATCAGATCCTGTTTCGCTCGACTCGTCATCAGACTTTTCTGCTTCMGTGGGGTCTTCGTCCGAGTTTTGTTGTTGTTGCTTAGAGCTAGTTTTCTTTTTTAGAATCTGCCTCTTCGCAGCAATGATGGAAGCGAGATCCATCCGTTCCGGTGCTTTGAATGCAGAATTACTGTTTTCCTGCTCGATTTTATCCAGGGCCGTTTGATATGACCAGCCCTTTTGTTCTCCTGCGAGCAAGCCGGAGGGTAGGCCACCATCTTCACCCTGTTTGGACCATTCGTTCAACAGTTTATTAAATCGCAAAACGTCAGTTCGCGCTAGACCTTGCTTCCACCATTATCTTTCAGYCGTCCCACTCTTCCCGATGCTGCCAAAAATCCAGACGAAAACACTTACCAAGAGACCCCCGAAAACAATGTCCATTTTCTCCTCCTCSTCGTCGTCATCGTCATCATCAATGATTCCATTTTCGTCGTCGGACGAAAGAGCTGGTAGCAAGTCCGCCATTTTCCTTCTACACTGATATCTTTTATTSTCCGATGGAATCTCTTGGAGTTTAACGTACCCACCCTGGGTGTTTGCTCTTTTTCGTGCCGTGGTTGACGACGCCCTATTTTCGGGTGATCGAAAGATCGAAGAAAACCAGAATAGATGCTTTTCATATCATCCCGTACTAGGTGTAATTCATGTTTTGATCGTCGATCGAATTTTGTTGGTGGTAGTAGTCTGGTCTGGCCATCAGCCGGAAAAGGGGGCTTGTTTAASTGAAATTTATTTTTTATGACGTCATCTCCAATAAAATACCATAATKTATACCACATGTGCCAATASTRT